ATGGTATGGTGTGATATGGTATGGTATGGTATGGTATGGTATGGTATGGTATGGTATGGTATGGTATGGTATGGTATGGTAACATTGTCTGAGAAAGCTGCAAAGATGAGAACAAGTTTTAAACTATCTTTAACTCACTGAGTCATCACTCGTCTGCATGCGTCAATCAATCAAACCCATCCTTGTTATGGTCTGTGGGGTTTTATTTTCCTGCATCTGTGTGTGTTTGGGTGAGAGAGAGATAGTGCTTCCTCTAAACCTGCAGTCTATCTCCCCATCAATCTGGTGTTTTTATATCTTCATCTTCTTCACTCCATTTGCCATTCGATTGTTTTTCTTAAACACCAGATTATACTTTTAAACTCATGAAGAGAGAAGTAAACAGAAACAAACAAATCCATCAATAATTTAAGCAATGTGTTAAAGGACACAAAATGTGCACATTGCCTCAGACAGCTCTGGACGCACTGGGTTCTCTAACCTCCTGTTGTGTTATCCCAGCTGGTGCATTAGTGCCAGTCTGACTCTGAGCAGTCACAGTGTGTTCACCCTGCATGTATGGAGCACAGTTAACTTCCCGATCCATCAGAGAGGGGTTTTAGAGAGAATCAATAACAGTTTCAGCATAAAACAAAGACTGAGTACAAACCCAGAAGGTTGGAAACTTTAGTAAAAAATAAATAAAAGTACTTTAAATCACTATTCACAAGGGCAAAGGAGTTATTTATGTTTCACTAACTTTATTGCAAATAGAAAATGTATCAAAGCTAGTTTGATGATGGCAACACTCCATTCATACTGTTTTCAAGCAAGTAATTTATAATAGCTGCCTTTTCATCTTGGGAAGAATTAGGGGTGTAACAATACATTCTACGCCAGGGGTGTCAAACTCCTGTCCTCGAGGGCCGCTATCCTGCATGTTTTAGAGGTTTTCTTGCTCCAACACACCTGATTTTGATCGCTGGGTGATTAACAGGCTTCTGCCCAATTTGAAGAGTTAATTCAATCACTGAATCAGGTGTGTTGGAGCTGGAAAACCTCTAAAACATGCAGGATAGCGGCCCTCGAGGACTGGAGTTTGACACCCCTGTTCTACGCTATGTTTCCATTTTATCAAGACAAAACAGAAACATTGATCAATATTGTGATCATACGCCTGATATGGATTGATATCATATGCCCATCTAACATCATCATTGTGTTAGATGGGCATTTGATATTGCAACATATAGATTGCAGACTTGTGAAATGAATAAAATTGAATTTGTATCATGACAGATTTTGCAACATCAAAAAACATTTTTATGTCATCCAAACAAATCAATACAATGTTGTCTTGAGGTGACTTACACCCCTAGTAAGAATAAAGAATAAAGCATACCTATCTGAGCATAAATTGTGTATTTGATATTGGAAATTAGTTTATCTGTCCAGTTTCCTTTCCTGCGTTCTTTGTCATCGCTAAACGTTTCTTCCTCACTGGTAGAAAAGACGTGTGTGCGAGGTGGCATCTAAGCTGGAGGCATCATTTAGTGGCAAACTTTGTCACGACAACCAATTCAGTGCCACTGCGACATTTTTATACATTTTTGTAATTTCCAAAAATTATTCTGAAAGCTACGGAGCCCGCGAGGGGACATGGGGGGATTTTTTTTCTTTTGCGTTCCCTCACAATACCGTTGCGTTCCCTCACAATACCTTTGCGTTCCCTCGCAATATCTTTGCGTTACCTTGCAATACTTTTGCGTTACCTCACAAAATTGTTTTGCGTTCCCACGCAAAAGATTGTTTTGTTTATGAACTGAATTAAATCAGCCTTTTATTTTGAAATATCTGGTTACCAATACAGGATGTGTCGCCACAGGTTCGTGAAATTGACATTGAAGTTGCGTGGCTGCACTGTGTCAAAATATTGGCATGTGACATACTTACATGCGTGGCTGTGTGATATATTCATTCTGAAGCTGAATTAAAGCAGTGGGCTAACTTGCTAATGGTGAACATGTGAGTTTGTTAATAAACCGGCAGGCACAACGGTGATGAACTACTTTTGCGAGGGAACCCAAAAGGAATTGCGAGGTAATGCAATACTATTACGTGGGAACACAAAAGAAAAAAAAATATCCCATGTCCCCTCACGGGCTTCGTAAAAAGCTGCTTTGAGAGTTTACTTTTTATAAAAAAAATTATCTTTTTTATTTATTTATTTATTTATTTATTTTTTGCACATTGGCAACTTGGAAATTGGGCTGAAGTCACTTGCAGGCCAAATGTGGCCTGCAGGCCACCTATTGCCCATCTCTAGTTTAAACAGTAAGTCAGGATAGACCTTAGAAGTGACAACATTCTTAGGGTGACCTTTGAAAAAAATGATGCTACCAATAAATAGTGATTATAATGTTGTTTTTTCTGTGTTTATTTTGCACTTTTCTTAATGCTGTAATCGGATGGTATATTTGCACAGTTTTTTTTCATAATTGTTAAAACTCCAAACCTGTTTCTGTTCTGGCTTTCCAGGTGTTCCTAATGTAGTTACTTCTCCTGCTATAATATTGTGTTCAGTTTCCCCCTTTTCATCATGAGATTTGTGAGATTGTTCCTGGGCTCCACAATATGTTTTTACTTGGAAGTTTGTTCCTGAGGTCAGTGATGGTCTCCTGTTTCCTGAGGTCAGTGATGGTCTCCTGTTTCCTGAGGTCAGTGATGGTCTCCTGTTTCCTGAGGTCAGTGATGGTCTCCTGTAAGTCCTGTTTGCTTCAAGTAAATTATTTCTTTTATTTACCTGTGGATCTGCATCTTGTCCATCAGTGAACGTGAGGTTTGTCTTGAAACATTTATCTAAAAACATTAAAAACGTTTGATCATATGGATCAAACAGCATCAAAAATCCAAATTTTGTTCGTTTGGGTTATATTTGTATTTTCCAGCAGACAAACTACATATATGTTTGCATCACAAGAAAACACTTGTACATATTATTTTTGTATGTGTCTGTCTCTCCTGAGGCAGTGAAAATCTAGAGGAGAAGGCAGACAAGACTCAGATGATAGTGACAGAAAGGACCTCATGCATCAAAACATATCAGTATGCATATGTTCAGACAAGATGTGCCTGACTCACCTCTGGCGCTATGTAATCGGGAGTACCACAGAATGTTCGCGTGGTTACGTCTTCTTTCATGTTCTCTTTACACATCCCAAAGTCAGCTATCTTAATGTGGCCTTCAGAGTCCAGCATCACGTTGTCCAACTTCAGATCCCTGAGGAAACCGAGACACATTAGAAACCATTTTACAGACGTGAATCATATAGCTGGTTTTCAATTTTTTTATTTATTACAAATGGTCATGTTGTTCTTTATAAATATCCCGGAGTTCTTATATAACACCAGAGGCAAAACTGGTGTTTATACACAACACCACTGGATATGTCTTCTATTAGACACAAACAGGTATTCCATAAGGAACATGGATATCACATATTCTTTAAGCGGGGGCAAAATCTGCTTTTTTTTCAGCTTTACATAGTGGTATAATGTTATTTTCTCATCAAAAACATAACTGGAATGTTGCTTTGACTCAATCATGCATGCTTGTGAAACCCTTGAAACTCCTATGGAAGCCATTTGGAGCTGCCTAAGCACTTGCTGGTACAAAGCACCGCCCATTTGGACAAAGCTCCTCCCTGGAGCTCAGTCTGCAGCCTAAAGCAAATTATGTCTGGAAAGTGACGAAGTTGAGATAAGAAAGCCAATATATTTGAAGATAAAACTTCATTTTGTAGATTGTTTCTTTTAATATCAGTGATTTTGTTTATCACTGCCTTTTTTTTTTTTTTTTTTTTTTTTACTAAAATTATTTCTGATCCTTTCTTTCTTAGAGTTAATGGGCTTCGGAGTTTGAGTCTTTAGTTTTTATGTACTTGTTTTATCTCTGCAGGTTTATTTTTTACAATGTGCAGAATGTGTTATTTTCACTGTGTTATTTTATTCATAATAACAACAAAATGTTCATAAAAACAAAGTAAATCATTTATTGAATGAAAAGAGTGCAGAAAAAAGAAACAAATATTACGGTATATCTGCCCCTTATTAGGAAACAACTTCAAACAAAAACAACTTAAACAATCTCTATATATGAGAAAAGAAAACCAACAATGAAATAAAAACAAGAACATAAGGATTACACAAGGCATCCAACGATATATTTAATAAATAATACATAGCTTCATACATTCCCAAGAAATTTAACTGAGCAATCTTTTTAAACATTTAAATTGTTGTGGAATTTTTTATCTTAGTGTCAAGACTATTCCACAAATCTATTCCCTGATTTACAGTGCAGCGCTTCTTCAAACTTGTTTGAAATAAAGGTTTTTCAAGAATTTCCATTATTATATGAGATTTCTATGTCAGCTATTCATCAATGCTGACACCTGACTTAAAAGGGACGTATCATGCAAAATCCACTTTTCAGCTGTTAAATACATTTTGGAGGCTCTATAAGGGCATAAATTATAGATTATAATTAAAGATTATAATTTAGTCTTTCCTAGTGCTACAGAGATACCTTTGTATTCTGTTTGGTTCATATTTTTCAGCACATTCAGTTTTCTCTGTTTTCTATGATGTTTCTCTAAACCAGCATTTCCCAAAGTTGGGGTCGGGACCCAAAGTGGGGTCCTGAAACATCAAGGTGGGGTCCTGAAAAGATTTTTCTGAATTAATTACATTTTTGCCTTAGTTGTTACAAAGGAGTGAGGTCAGTGTATTTAAAATGGATAAATGTAGTATAAAAATATTTTTACAATGCCCATGTTTAGTTGACCTGATACAAATGTTTATCATCCAGAAACAGTTGGGGGCTCAGGTCTCTGCTACTGTTATTTTGTGGGTCAAAAGCTGAAAAGTTTTGGAACCACTGCACTTTGGTTCCCAAAGTTGGGCTTGGGACCCAATTATGGGTCATGAAGCACCTTGGATAATCTCCAGAAATCAATTTAAAGGGTAATAAAATAATTGCTGATGTAATATTTTCCCTATAATTATTACAAAAACACAAAAAAGTATGAATAAGTGTTTATATTTGTGTATAAGCTGTTTAGATGGTCAAAAAGCCTGTGTTTTTAGGGTTATTAACAAAGTTCGTGTACTCAGACCAGTAATATTTGGGGTCACAAGTTTTCGCCATGGATATTTTGTGGGTCATTAGATAAAAAGTTTGGGAACCACTGCTCTAAACTATTACATCAAATAATCTGCAACGGAATTACCTTATAAGGTCTGGACTAACCGATTACGATTTCCTTATTAATTCTCCTCGAGTTCTGGGTCTAACTCTGGCTCAATATGTGAGGCTGGATGGACAAGTTTTCTGTTGTTGACATTTTCAATTTAATTGTAAATAAAACACTTCTGCATCGATAGAAAACACAACCCCTTGTCTCAAACCGGAGTGGACCGGTCTGGAAGCAGGAGGGGGCGGGGCTTGAAGCATCTTAAAGGAACAGTATCAAATCCTGCTGCTATGAGACACACAGCTGAACAGTGGTGAAAGAGGGGGCTGGTAAAGTTAAAATAAGGAGGGATTCAAACCAAAGCATTGTAATTTCACTTTATAAAACCCCCAACTAAATGATTTAAATGTGAAAAGCAAGGATTTCAAAGCATGATATCCCTACTATAAGTTGGGCATGTTTGTTCTTCCCAATAAGGGTTTGGTTGGGGTAGCTCATTGTAGCTTCAGTTGCACCTGAGAGGTGAGTGTGTGGCAGGTATAAAAGTAACTCAATACACAGTGCTTTGGGACTCTCCCTCACCTTTCTGCCTCTGTGGGAGGCTGGCTTGTCAAATGGGTAATGTTTATGGTTACAGCTCTTTTGTGTTTCTGGGTCAATCAATCTTACCAACAATTCAGGCAGAATGTTTTTCCTTATTGTCCTAATCATTTTTTTTTCTTTTCACAGTAAACAGTTTTGGACAATAACAAATTTGAGCAAGCTCAGTTTTTGTTGCCAACTATGAGCCAAGTTGGTAACACACCCAAAAATGTTATTTCACTGACTCTAAATTTCAGTATCATCAATACAGAATGGAACTTTGATAGTTTTCTTTCTGTTATCAAATATCTTTTAATTTGTTTTATTCAAATTCAGTGATTATTTACTAAGTTGAAATCAAGTCTGTACTATCCTAAACTCTGTATCACTTCCAACATTTGTTGTATTTTCATCAGAATAAATAAGTGTTGTGTGATCAGTAAACAAAATAAATTTAAAAGCTTCGACAACCGGATTAAACCATTCAAAGGTAAAATACACAGTTTTGGTCCAAGTACAGAACCCTGAGGGACTCCACAACTAATATTTCATCATTCAGATCTTACATTATTTACTTGAACATACTGTTTCCTATTTTTCAAATAACTAGATACCCACTGTTCATTTACTCATTAATATAAGAAAAAGGGTGGAAATCAAGCTTGTGCACAAGCAACCCCCCCAAAATAATATTTTAAACAAGAACACAGTTTTTTAAGAACATAAACCGCATACACATTTCTGCCTACATAAAGTTTCATTCTAAAACATATGCATTTTCTGTACGTGAACCCTTTGAAAACCATTATAATTCAAGAGCCCTCACAACTACTACATGAAGTCCAAAATATATAAAAAAATTTGAAAGGTTTTGGTCATTACTTGTAGTCACAGTTTTATTTGTTGTAAACAAAACCGTGTGCATTGAGTTTTTGTATTAGTACACACCTATAAATGATTCCTTTACTGTGGAGAAAGAAGAGACCAATGGCGACCTCTGCTGCATAAAATCTGCAATAAAATAATTTGTTCACAAAATTACAACAGAAAAGAAAAACAACATTACCACACAACAGAAAATAATTTTAAAAATGAAATGTTGAAGCATGATACATGTATTTTTGGCTGTAATTTATAATTTGAGTTACAGCTCGATCCTACATTTGCTCAATAAAAAAAATTCATTAAAATAAATTCTTACACTGCTTGAGGTTCCTTGAATTTGCCCACTTGTTGGATGTGGTACATTAGGTCTCCACCATTCACATACTCCATGACAAAATACAGGCGGTCCTGTTGGCATGCAGAAAAACATGAGAAGGTTTATTAAGGGGAGGTGAAACAAACTAGTCCTCTGAGTTCTTGTTAAAAACATCGTTTCTCAAAGAAGTGTCCAATTTCAACAGACTTCATTGTTTCTGTTCACAGACAAAGACGCAGTCCAGTTTAAACACCTACTCTGACCTCACAGTCTGTGTTGTTGTATCTTTAGCGTCATCTGTTCCATGACAAGGTGACCTAGATTGCCCACAAACAAACCAGTTTGTGGAAAAAGAAACAGACACACATGTACACACACAACGCAGCTGCTGTCAGGAAATATTCTCTTTATTATAAAACACTGGTGACACGTTTGGCCTGACCCCAGTCTAGTTGTCTTTGATTGTCCCTTACAATCATAACCAAAGCAATCATTCTTCACAGAAACAGAAACATCTTGATGACAAGGCTGATCCTGAAACAAAGTGTCATCTCTGATGGATAAGCTGCTTTTTCTTTGACGTTTGAAGGCTCTGACCCTCACTGCACTGCAGTGACATCGCCCTTAGCCAAAACTACACCTCTCTCCGTCTTTGCACCTCCACAATTAGCCCTCTCTGCACGCAGTAATAAAGAATAAAAAGGCTTTTTATAAAGGGATGCTGATAAAGTCATGAGTAACTTGATTTTTCAAAAATCATAGGCCTTAAAAAATCAAAGGCCTTCTGAATAAACTTACCTATCCTACAAGCAATTAGATAAAATTGAAAAAAATATATCCTTTTTTTTATTAATAAAACGAAATGAGTATCACTTTGTACACAGACACAGAAAACTGTAAAACTTTGATTTGTTTTGCAAGTTTACTAAGTTTTGTGAGAAAACTTGTTCATGTGTGACTATGTTTTTGGTTATGTCAAGCTACTTCTTCTATTGTATTTATTCTCCTGCTGGTGCTGTGACTTTTCTAAAAATACTATAAAAGTTTGAGGATGTTCATTTGTTTTAGAGCCACTTTTATCCTAAATAATGCATTCTGAGGGGGAAAATATATATATATTTTTACATCTAACTGAGAAATGAGTGGTTGCAAGACATGGATAGATATTGTAAATCTGTATCAAGATTCATTTTTTATTCATGGCTTCTGAAGACTCATACTAAGTGTCTCTGGCATGCATATTCTTCAAATACAGAGTCTAAAACACAGATTTGTATTTAAGAAACTTGGCATAATGCACATGATTTTACCCATTTTGAACTCAACTTCTTCTTTCTTGTCCTTGTTGTTGGCCATTGAAGCAAAGCTCTGTTCACATGCAGACATTCCCCTTTGACATCACTTCCTGCTTCTTCACAAGTGAATATATCTACAATGTTCATCTCAGCGGTATGACTTTTTTTTCAATATGTTATCAACGTTATCTTTCCAAAAATGCATTCATACTGATTACAAAAACTGATGTCTTAGGCACCTTAAAGTCAGGATTTTTAACAGCTTTTACTGTTTCTTTACTAATAGGTTGGTTTATCTTGATTGTTTCACATATTTTCTTTTAAATACTCCACATGAAATATTGGTTGCATAATTAGATGAGCTTAGCAGATCTAATTACTGTAGTAAGCATAGCCATGTGCTGCATGCATGTGACTCCCAGGCTCTGTGGCAATGACAGAACCAAAAGGTTATTTGCTCATGCACGAGAGTATAGACCCACAATTTAGTACCAGTACATGTGAACTCACCTACTTTAGTTTATTAACTGGTGATTGTTTGTTTCCCTCCTGCCTTTGTTTAATTGAACTTGTTACATTTGTCCTCTACTGCCCTCTGCAACAATTTATGACTAAGCTGTTTGGCTAAAAGGCAGACTCTGAACTAACAGGACCTGACTGATCAGGAAGAAACGTGTTCCGATGAATATCCAGAGGCATATTTTACCCACCACAGTCTGGAAGCACGAGTGGAGGTACGTGAGGAAAGGTGGCTTGTCCTGCTGGGCCAGGACTCTCTTTTCTACCATTGTGCATTCGACATCATCGTCCTGGATCACTACGTCCTTCTTCAGGATTTTAACTGCGTAAAGCTCTTTTGTGGCCTTCATCTCAGCGAGCATGACCTTTAAAGAAACCAAAAAGACCAATGATGTAGGAAGAATCTTGGAAAACCTTTTTTATAACTGTTTCCTGAATTCCAACCTTGCCAAAGCTGCCTTTTCCCAGCACAGCCAGAAACAGGAAGTCACTGAGTTTGACCTGGTCCAAGCTGTTGGATGGGAGGTTGCTGGAGCGGCCGTTGTCCGTCTCTGTGATCACCTTCTTACCTGGGCCTAGCCTGGCCTTCTGCACTCAACACACAAAGGACAAAATGTTTAACAAACATTTAAAGGATATATTTCAGAAAATACTAACTATAGATATTGAAAATAGTTCTTTAAAGCTGATTGACTTCTTAAGTTACAAAGCAAAGCTACTTTTTCATGACTGTATCAATAAACATGTATGAACACAATAACATGTATGAACACAATCCTTAGAGTGTTTTTTGACATCTTTAGCTCCTTTTAGATGCACTTACTCAAACTATTGTTTTTTTTATTTCACATCCACTATAAACAAAACTAAGTAACTGCATTTAAAGGACAACGCTGTGCAGCTGACAGAGCTAAAAAAAAGCATCATCAAAATAATCAGCCAGTCAGTTCAACAGTTAAAAATCACTAAAAAACTGCAGTCTTTGAAGCAGAAAAATATGATAATGCAGCACATCATAAAAATGGCAATAATATTGATAGCGAGAAAAAAAAAGACAGAAAACATGACACATACTTGAATACAGAATAATTAGATGATTTTAGATACCGTTAATAAATGAAGTACTTGCTTTGAAAGTGTATGAAAATATTTAGTGTATAGACATCTTTCACCAAAGTTTTATTACTCAGTAAGTTAAAACAATTGCCTTACTTTACACAAAACAAAATCAGCTACGTATAGACTTCTTGTTATATCATAGTATTAAGCTTTTAATAAGGACTATTGTTCTGTTTTGTGGGACAGAATCTATGTAATACATACTGCATATATTTAATAAGGAAAAAATTAAAATGAAATGTATAAAATGCTAATGCATTCATTTAGATTATTGATTCATTAGAAGCAAAGGTTCCAAAATACTATTAGAAACTTTTATTTGTTGATAAAAACTGCAAAGCTCGGCTGGCTCCTGAGAAACAAGCTTATAAGTTTAAATGCTTAAAAAATACTTTGGGTTATTTTTAACTGCTATAGATTCATCATTAGATAAACATTTCATGAAAATATTCATTTCTGGAGGAAAACTGATTTGAAAAAATGTTTTCTTTAAATCTAAAATAAGTAAATGGTTCAATATCAAACCAGAAATTTGCAGAAAACTCATTAATGGTACTCTGAGCTTTTTATTAGCATTAACTTATTGGAGCTTTTCTATTTTTAAGTGTGTTGTACAATCTGAGTTTACAGGAAAGCTGCTCATTTTGATTCAATATCATTGATTTATAACAAATTTATGCGGGTTTAAATAAGTAAATAAATGAATTTCAGGAGTCTGTTTTGTGTTGCTGTTAGACCTTACACAGTGAGAATTTTTTTCATAGTTTTTTCTTCCCTTCACTACTGAATACTTGGTCAGTTTTAAAGGAAAGGATGCAACACTTGGGTCAGTTCTCCTGCATTCATCCAGTGGTGAACAAAGTGCTCTGTTTGAGTCGTTGTACTGATCCTACTCAAATATTACTCCAATAAAATTAAATGTATCTCTGTCAAATTATTACTTAAGTTAAAGTACTAGAGTATGTACCATCAGAAACACGTAAGAGCCGAAAGTACTTCAATTTTGACATTTTTTAACATTGCATTTCACTTAGTTGAGGACAATTGGAATTTTTTTTAAATTGAACTAATCTTTAACTCCAAATATAACAATAATAATGCATCAGTCTTACATAATGCTTTTCCAGATGCTCAGAGACATTTTACAGTTTGATGCATTATTCCTTCACTCCTCAGTCACAATCAGTGGTGGATGTGTGGCTGCTGTTCTGCACCTACGGTCCCTCCAGACCACCACAATCACAGCAACAGATTTATACATGAGGAAGTTGGGTTAAATGTCTTGCTCAAAACACAAAGACAGTACGCGCTCAGGCGATCTTAACCAGCAGCCACTACCCCTTGCACCACTGAAATCTAAATCAGCCTAATTATACCCTTTTTGCAAGAAATGTCAGCTCCTCAGTCTACACAGTCACTGCTTCAAGAAGGCTTGGAACAGTCTGATTGAATCGAGGTATTAGTATCAGGTAGTACAACTAAATGACTAAATAAGAAGCTCATCTGTTTGATGGAAACATTTCACACTGAGCTTTTTAGTTGTTATTTGTAATATTTTTACTAGTTTGCTGAGTTGAAAATAAACTAGAAACACTTTTGTTCAAAAAAATTTAACAAAGTTCATTTGGTAGTAAACCGTTAATAGAAAAAAAGGGACTAAAATTCTAAAAAGCTCTAACTTAAGTCTTAAATGAAATGAGTTTGTGTTCAAATCAGGACTAACCAGGATTGAAACAAAGACCTGCTGGAACGTGCAGCTATAAGGCAACACTAGTTGACAAAAAATATTATTATTATTCTCCTCGCAGCTGGATTAAAACTGTTTACTGCCACCTACTGTTCAGGGGTGTAATGTGTAACTTTACAGTGTGTGGTGGAACACACATGGATGCAAACTACCAGAGTTGTAAAGTAATAAAATACAAATACTTTGTTACTGTACTTAAGTAGAAAATTTGGCTATCTGTACTTAACTTGAGTAATTATTTTTCAGCGTACTTTTTACTTCTACTCCTTACATTTTTACCCAATTATCTGTACTTTCTACTCCTTACATTTTTTAAAAAGTTAAGAAGTAGAAAGTCATTTCTCCTATTTCATTTCAGCTTGTTATTTGTAAAAAAAAATACTATCCTGAAAAATTGTGGCTCCTGGATTGAATTTAATTGAGGTTGGCTGAGAAGTATAAATATATACCATTCTGATACTATATTTAGTTTGTACATAATCCACCAAAGCTGCACACTTTTAGAAAAAATATATTTTTGAAGAGGTCACCACCCAATAAATGTATTTTGGAAAATCTAACCATTCATTTTTACTCAGTACTTTTACTTTTATTACTTAAGTATATTTTATGTCAGAAATTTACTTTTAATACTTAAGTACAAAATAAATCATATACTTCAAAACTTTTACTCAAGTAATATTCATAGAGGAGACGTTAACTTTTACCAAAGTCATTTTATGATAAGATACTTGTACTTTTACTCAAGTATCACTTTCAGGTACTTTATACAACACCGCAAACCACACAAACACTGCCAAAAAATAACTAAAACCTTTAGAGAAACGTAGTGGAGTAAAAACTGTGATTTCATTGTTAAAATGTAGTGAAGTAAAAGCAAAACCTTTTCTATAAAAATGCTACTCAAGTATAAATTCTCAAAAACTGTGTACAACACTCAAGTAAATTTACTTTGTTACTGCCCACCTCTACATGCATCTCCAGAGCAAACAAAATGTCTTAACATAGACCCGAGAAAACAGAAAAGCCTTTCTTTCATGCCACATCATGCTCAAACTCCCACCAGAGCAGATGCTTTAGAAGCTTGTAGGGTTATTTTACTTGCAGCGCACACTTTTCTAACAGTCTGAGCAACAAACAACAAGCAGATCCAAACCAAGTTCTGTCTTTGTACCCAAAAGCACATCCAGCGTTGCCATCTCAGGTTTCATTTTACCACCAGACATAACAAGCAAACGAACAGTACTAAAGCCTGGCATCATTAATAAAACCTAGAACCAACAAGCAACGAGAAACAAACACTGAGCATCTTTAGTTGTGTTAATGGCCTCGACAACCGTTTGCTCCAGTGAACTGAACGAGCAGCAGAGAAACACCAAGCAGAGCAGAACGCACTCCGTCACTGCAAACCCGTGAGCTTAAGCTGAGGAAATGAGCCGGACAGGGCCGAGCCGAGCCGAGCCGAGCCTACAGCCGCCTTACTTCATCTCCATCAGACGCACCTGATCAGAGTCTTCCACACCTGCTTGGTCCTGAAACCACAGGGAGAAGGGAGCCCAAAACACTGACTCACATTGAACATGTGCGTGTAGGTACAACCTTTATACTCACAGCTGGTAGTTGAGGAGAAACACAAGATTGTTTTTTAAAAACACAAACTTATGGCTAACACAAAACTAACTCAAAGAAAAAGCTGTAAATACAAATTTAGGCTGAATTTGGTTACTGTATCAGTTACAAAAAAACGTAAAAACAGCTAAGAAAAAGTACCTAATCTCTTGTTTGTTTTTATTTTGTTCTACTTATTCTGATTTCACTTCATGTGTTACAACATTTTAATAAAAAAAACACAGAAAAAGAATAAACAAGGTCAATTCCACTACAAATAAAATATTAAAGTGGAGCTTAATTTATCATGTAGAAAAATCAAAACAAAAACACCCAAAACCACTGAGCACATAACTCCAATCTAGGACAAAATGTCAGTCCACTGCTGACACCTTGTGGTCATTCATGATATTTTAGCTACAGGACTTGTTAAAAACAGTGGTTCCCAAACCTTTCAGCTTTTGACCTACAAAATAACAGCAGCAAAGACCTGTGCCCACAACTATTTTTGGATGATAAACATTTGTATCAGRTCAACTAAACATGGGCRTAGTAACAATATTTATTATTCTACATGTATAAATTTTAGGCAACTAAGGTAAAAATGTAATTAATTTAGAAAATATTTTCAGGACCCCACCTTTATGTTTCAGGACCCCACTTTGGGTCCCGACCCCAACTTTGGGAAACATTGCTTTAAAGAGTCCTTAATGTACTGCTCTGTTTGATATTACCAGCATGGCATGTTTGTTGGTAGAACTCACATATTGTCAAATAAATCCTAATCATTTGTTGAAAAAAGTGAAAGACACAAACATCAGTTTAGATGAGGATATGAGCAAACAACACGACACAAAGTGTAACTCACAGACAAATGACTCAAACATGCAGAAACATGAAAAATCCTTTGACAAACTAAAACTAGAAGCTGTGAAATCAAAGCTGAGCCACAACAAAAAAAGCAGAAGCAACCACATATTCATTTAGTTTTATTCTCAAAATATAAATGTACTTATTTGGTATAAATTCATTCATAGTAGAGCCACGGTGACATGAAGAGACGTGATGAAGAACGAAGGAATATTTTCACCACAACATATAAATGTCAAATGATTAATGGAGTGATGTGAGCAAGATGGGAGGAGAGGAAAGAAGAGGGGAGAGGGCTACCTTTAGATTAAAGTTAATTTGGCTGTCCTGAGAGCAGGGCAAGACGTGAAGAGAGGAAGAGAGAAACTCTTGCATTAAATATGAACAAGTGACACAGGATGTACAGTATTCGGTAAGTCTCACCATGGACACAGGAGGGAGCAGGAAGCTAGGGGGACAAAAAGGGGAGAAACCACAAAGGGGGTTTATGAAGAGGACTGAGAGAAAAGAGGACTTCCTCAGGCCAAAAAGTATTCAAAAAATTAAGAGTAATGTCCAGGGGATAATACACTGAGGGACAACTTCAAACAGGATATTTATATAAACCTCTCCTGTTTGCTGCGGTGGGATTTGTTGTTTGGGAGCTTGATCGAAACCCGTGTAAGATGCAAACACAGCGGTGAAACTTAACAATCTACTGATGTTGATAGCAACAAATTAAATAAACTGTAAAAATGCCTCCTGCAGAAAGAGCCTGCTAACATCATGTGAAATAAGTGCGCTCAGATGAGCAGAGACCAGCTGTTAAAAAAACAAAATAATTAAATTGAAAGCATTATGTGTGTTTTGATCAGCGTGCACAGTTGGTCGTCTGGACCTGTTACCACAACAACCAGACCTAGCTCAGCAAATGACAGATCAGATTAGTCCCTTCAGAAAGAACATAAAACAGTCACATCTCATCACAGTTATAGCTCAACAGAGCACAAATGTACACTTATGTGCAAACATTTTAGAGGATCAAGACTGCCTTATAAGACTTAAAGTGGTCCTGTTTAAGACTTTTTCAGGATTTCTAAAGATCTTTAGTAAAGCTTTCTTTTACGGTACCCTTATTACCATGAAATTACAAGTAATAAAAATGTAATTGAATGTGATTACTACCTTATTACCATGTAATTACCATATTTATTCATGTATAATATGATCTCGTATAATACGACCCCCACTTTTGAACTTAAAAAGCATAAAAAATTAATCCTCAAACTACCTCCAATTTCATACAGACTTCAAGATTTTTCAGCCTTTGGAGTCTTTATACATATCAGTAAAATGATCCTTGGACTGTTCATTTTATTTTAACAACATATGTACCAAAAGGTATTTTGACAACAAATATATATCAGCTGTAGCAGCATCATATGAATTCTGACATTTTACACATAGTCCACCAGGATGCGCCAACACAAAAGTCAGAGACTTCACATAAGATTTGGACCATCTTGTGGGGGAAAAGCAGATTACTTCCTACTCTGGTGGGGAAACTTTTTCAGGGATACAAACTTTTTCAGAACACCAGTAGACGGCAGCCATTACAGATGAACATGTGTTTGTTGTTGATCCAGGAGCGGTCCAGTCACACGCTAATGTTATTAGTTCTTTACCATCACTAGGGTGCAGGAATACCCCCCCCCCCCCTTTTTTGTTCACATCATGTCGCCTGCCTGGATCTGTTATTATCTCACTCTGAAGCACGGAGGAGTGTCA